AGGCCATGCCTCGGAGACGAAGCAGGGAGGGGTGACCAAGGCGGTGGTGCCAGAGGAGAGTCTCGTGAGACAGAAGGCGACACGAACAGGGGGCAGACTCAGGACCAGACCTGGACGCTGCAGCAAACACCTGACCCGACGCAGCTACCTGACCAGACGCAGTGACTGGAGGAGACGCAGTGGTCAGTGTGTACAGGCTCGACCCCGGCCGACGTGTAAACGTGGCCAGGTGTCGGCCTGTCCGAGCGTCCGTGCAGTGGGTCACCCGCTGACTCGCAGGAGTGAACCGGTGAACCCCCGCATCCTGTAGGTCAGCACCACTCACCAAGTTCGTAGAGAACGAGGGGAGGTAAAGACCAGACAGGGTGCCAGAGGGGGCCGCCGGACACGGGAGGACAGTGGAGAAGTGAGCAAGGACAGGACCCCCAGAGGGGTCTGCCAGAGAGACTGCAACTGGCCGGCCAAGCGGCGTGAGTGTGGTGCGGTCTCGAAAGAAGGAGCGAGAAGCCCCCGAGTCAAGGGTGAAGGTGTGGGAGGCCGAAGCCGACGCAGTACCTGAGAGAGCAGACTCACCAGCACCTGAGGGAGCAGACGCACGAGCACCTAGAGCAGCAGCCTCGCTAGCACCTAGAGCAGCAGCCTCACCAGTACCTAGAGCAGCAGTCTCAATGCCCGGGTCGGGCGGAAAACACCGGTAACAGTCACCCTCATCACTAATAGTCACAGCATACATGGCAGCAAGAATAGCATCAAAGTCAAGGTCAAAGACAGCTACACCCGCCCTAGACAGCTCGCCCCAGCGAGGGATCTCAGTGGCCTCAGGGAACTGGTGACACCAAGCGTCCGTCAGGCGGCCAAAGCAGCGCTGGGTGGAGTGCGCACCCCCGCACTGCTCACCCGCGCGGTCGCCGGTGCGTAGGACGTAGGTGCACGGACCAGTACCCCCACCCCGCTGGCGTGCAGCGTACCACTCACGGAGCTGCTGAGGGGGGGGGATGTCACGAGTGCGCTGCTGCCGCTGCTGCTGCTGCTGCTGTTGCTGCTGGCGCTGACCACCACCGGAGCCGACCCTCTGTGCAGCGCCACCCTGACCAGCTCCACCTCCTCCGCCGCCGCCTCCTCCACCGCCGCCACCTCCGCCACCTCCGCTCCCACCGCCACCGCCGCCGCCGCCTCCGCCTCCAGTGCTGCCACCGACACCTCCACCCCCGCCACCACTCCCACCACCACCCCCACCCCCTCCACTGCCGCCACCGCCACCTCCGCCACCCCCGCCAGCCCCTCCAGCACCCTTGCCCCCCTTGCCCTTGCCGGTGCGGCGTCTCCCGCTCGGGGCAGACGCAGCGCCGACCGACTCGAAACCAACGAGGTCGGCCGCAGCAGCAGAGGCAACAGAGGGCAAAAGGGGGGAGCGGGAACACCCCTCAAAGACGGGGGTGCGAGGGTCACCACGAGAGGCTCCTATAGCGACTATGCTCTTCTCTACTGCTAGGAGGGCCTTCTTGAGGAGGTCAACGGTGAGAGTGGTGGGGCAAACTGAGAGGAAGTGGTCCCTGACTACGCGAAGGGAGTCAGGGAGCCGTGTGACTATGTAGTAGAGGGTGATGTACATGGGGGGGGGGTTCTTGGCGCAGAACTCAGCAGGAAGCGCAGCGCGGTAGCGAGTGTCACTAGTGCGGAGGTGCGTAATGAGGTCAGCGACTGTGGGAAAGGCAGCAAGGTCAGGGAAGAGGTACGGTAGCATGAGGCGGCTCAGTGCAGCAGTGGCAGGGGAGGAGTAGCGCGCAACTACAGCGTCGTACAAGGTGTGAGCACTCTTGTACTGGCTAAAGTGCGCACGCTCAGAGGTAGGCAAGTGGCGACGCACAGCAAGACGTGCAGCAGCATCGCGTGTGGCCCACTGTGAGCGAACAGTGGCGTCAGCATCAGCAGCGGGGGCAGGGGAGGCACCAGAACTGAGATGAAAGAGGGAGAGACCGTCTGCCCTATCGCACTGTAGGAAAAGCTGCAGGTCATCTACCCAGACGTCAAAGTCAATGGCCCGACCCTCAGCGTCAAAAGCGAGGACACTGGGGGTAGCCATGACAGTAGTAGACTAGCAGCAAGAGCAGTAGGCTAAGGGCAGCGCAGTAGTAGAGGTGCTGCTCTTACCGGGCAGGCGAGACGGACCGAGTGTAGAGGACAGGGCGGCTCGGACGGCTCGGCGGCTCGGTAGCACTAGCAGGTCGGCAGCTCAGCGACTCGGCGGCTCGGGTGACTCGGGCGGCTCGGGCGGCTCGGGCGGCTCGGGCGGCTCGGGCGGCTCGGCGGCTCGGGCGGTTCGGTGGCTCGGGCGGCTCGGGCGGCTCGGGCGGCTCGGGCGGTTCGGTGGCTCGGGCGGCTCGGCTGCTGCAGGGGCAGCGGCGGCTGTTGCTACTGGGACTGCGGCCGCGGTCGCTGTAGCGACTGCAGTTGCTGCTGCTGTAGAGGCGGCGACGGGGGGCCGAGAGAGGCCGCGAAGGGTGGCGGACGGGCCGTGAAGGGCGGCACGAGGGGCCGCAGAGGGCGGCGATCGGCCGTGAAGGGGCCGGGAGTGGCCGCGGAGGGCGGCGACGGGCCGTGAAGGGCGGCGCGAGGGGCCGCGGAGGGCGGCGACCGGCCGTGAAGGGGCCGCGAGTGGCCGCGGAGGGCGGCGACGGGCCGTAAAGGGCGACGCGAGGGGCCGCGAAGGGCGGCTACGGGCTGTAGGGGGCCGTAAGGGCGGCGCGAGGGGCCGGAAGGGCGGCGCGAGGGGCCGTAATGGCGGCACGAGGGGCCGTCAGAGGGGCCGCTAAGGGCGACGCGAAGGGGGCCGTAAGGGGCCTAGAGAGGGCGCGACGGTAGGGAGGGCACGCGGGGCGCGACTCGGGCAGGAGCGAAGCGCGCTCCGGGCAGGAAATTTTTTTTCGATTGGTGGGCCCTAGGAAGCGTTCCCACGAGGGAACCCGCTCTATACCATGAGAAATAACGAGGAATGAATTGACTAAGGGAAAGTTGGGTACAAAAGGAAACCCTAGAAAACTGTACCCCATATGTGCTACCCCACTATAGCCTACAGTAGCTATGTCACCTTCTCCTTGTCACCTTCTCCATGTCACCTTCTCCCTGTCACCTACCCCCCGTCACCTTCTGCCGCTGTCACCTTCTCTCCTTTTCCCCGCCTCTCCCCACCCCCGCCCAGGTTCGGGCTGGACAGCAGGGCTCTGGGCCACACGGACCGCACGCTCCTGTAGACGCTGCAAACCAGCTGCTCAGATTGGGGCACCCACTGTGTTGCCGTCGCAATCTAAGCATGATTTCCTCGCGATGGCATTGCATTGAGCATTACACCAACCTACCGTCTCCGCGGGAGGCTTTTGCAGATTGCCTGAGGGATGGGCAAGGCACGCACCGAGTTGTTTGATGAAATACACAGGCACGCATGCACAACAACACGATCGGAAAGCAAGGGACCATCTCACCTGCACGCGTCCTCGTGTTGATCCCGATGTCTTCAAACCAAGTGCCATAGCGGTGACGCGAGTCCCTTAGCGCGGTGCTTAAGAAACTGCCGATACACGGCTCGTTCCATGAACGGGTACTTCGCGCGGCGCCCAGCTCCCATGAGGCGACGGCGGCATCCAGAGGCGACCTCCAGACGCTCCTTCATCCGCTTCCACTCGCGGATCTGGCAGGGCTGCACCTTCGCCAGCTTGGCCAAAGCTCGATTTGACAGGTCCGGCTGCGATTCCTGCAGTTTCAGCCAGTGGAGCTTCTCCTTGGCGGTGTACGCATGACGAACACGTTTCGTCATGCGATGACGTGGGGAAGGAGCGTCGGCATCCGCGTTGCGCTTCGGAGGTCCCTGGGGGCGTGTTTGTTCCGGGAAGGAAGGAATCTTCACCTTCGGCAGCGCCGGCATAGGACGGGTCGCGCTGCTGCTCGGTTCATCGTTGGTGGCGCGACTCACGGGGGGTGACGGCTGCAGCAGGACGGGCCGGGGCGAACGCCGTGTGCCCGCAGCAGCGGGTGACTGGGTGACGGAAGGCCGCTGCCGCCTAACCACTGTGCTACTGGAGTCTGGAGAGGTAGCCATCTAAGCCTAGTGAACGTTGGTGTCACAGGCCATGGAATCCCTGAATTTATGCTAGGAAAGGGATCGAGGAGGCAGTTGGTGTTAGCACACTCTGCCGAGCATTGCTCGAGTTCGTGGAATGGAGCCGCTGCATAGAAAGAAGGATGAACTCCTTCTCAGTACAAGGACGTGACCGCCTCAGCGAGGCAGCTGAGGCTGTTGCGGGCGCTCCGCCTTTGTGACTGCATGAATCCTCGTCGAGCGACGAGGGGGTGTGTTTTCTTTCCAATCAGGGCCTGACTGTGGGCCTTGTTGGAGCTTGCAATGTGGCAGCTAACCCACGAGACTAACGTTATCGCCCAGTCCTCGGTTTTGCGCACCCAACCAACAATCTACCACCGCGTCAAACATGTACATTTTGTTCTCAACCTTTTGTGCTCTAAAAAAAATATACATTATGTAACGACCCGGGTGCAATGTAGCTTTTTCCGATGACAAGACCCCCCCCCCCCCTTTTTTGTGTAGATATCATAGCACCCTAGGGTGGTATGTCCGGGGTAATACGGTAAACGAACGCTTTGGATTCCGTGGGTCTTGGGCCTTGTGTCTGCTGTACGCGCCTTTAGACTCGGCGAGCTACAATTTGTGTATTCTGTTGCAGTTGCAGAGGGTTGAGCATTTAAAAGCGCACATGTTTCACACAAGCTAGGTTTTGCAAGAATTAATGTAACCAATAGAAAAAAAAGTTTACCGTACCGTATGTGGCAAGGAAATCCTGTGAAAAAGATGGAAGTCTCAAACTTTCAAGTTCACCAGAAAATACAAAACCGCAAAGGTGCTCTATTAGTTTATATCTTAGCACTCTTGTTTTTAGTGGCATATTTTGACATTCACACAGTTGTAACATGGAACCTGCTACTTGTCAATACTAAAACATATTTTTCCCTTCAGCCAAGTTGTCATCAAGAAATTGAAGCTGCTCGTCGAGGCTTAACACACTTGCAACAGCCTCCTTCTCCTTGACCTGCACATCCACCTTTACTGCCGCACTCAACTCCTCTTTCCCCACCACCTCCTCCCGGATGGCCTGCAGCTCGTTGGCGACGTGTGCCATGCTTGGGCGGGCTGCAGTGCGCTCTGCGGTGCAGGAGAGGGCGAGCTGAGCCACACGCATCACAGCATCTGCAGGGGCGTCCATGGTTGGGTGCTTGAGGCTGTCCAATCCCCCGAGGAGAGGCAGTCCGACGCCTGCGGGAGTGGATTGGGCGTGAAAAATCACAAACGGAAGCCAGGTCAACAAGAAGGTCTGTATAGAATACCCCTTAGATGTCACTGAGAAGATGGTATCTAAGTTCTCGTGTAAAAGTGGAATAGTTCTTACCCTCAGAGTGACCCGCAAGCCTTTAGAAGACAACTAACAAAACCAGATGTGCGTAAGAAATACCACAACCAACCACCCGCAGCGGACACGGGTGTTCGCTTTTGTCATTGAGACGACGCCATCACGGAAACCCTGGTCTCATGGTTAGGGTGCTTACCCATTTTGTGACCAGCTGACCCGATTCATCAGCCTCCACAAATGGTAGGCGTCCCGTAAACACGACCAGCATGAGCACTCCAAAGCTGAAAAGAAGAGTTTAAAGGCACGTGATGATCAGGGCACACGGCGCGGAGAAAGAAGGGGGGTAAGGAGGCACTTTACATGAATCTTGCCACCTGAATGCAACGTGCACAGGTTCATTGACTGTACACACATAGCACTTGGAGCCTCCTCAAATACTTCCCAGTGGATTCCTGCAATGATTTGAAGGGACTCCAAAGAAGTCCTGCAATGCTTTATAAAGGCTCCTGCAATGCTTTATAACGGCTCCTGCAATGCTTTATGACGGCTCCTGCAATGCTTTCTAGGGGACTCCTACAATGCCTTTAAGGTTCTCTTGCAATGATTTTCAAGTGGGACTCCTGCAATGCTTTCTAAGGGACTCCTACAATGATTTCCAAGGGGCTCCTACAATGCCTTCAAAGGGTCTCCTGCCATAATACAGAAGGGAACCCTGCAATGCTTTCAAAGGGAACCCTGCAATGCTTTCTAAGGGGCTCCTGCAATGATTTCTACAGGTCTGCTGCAATGATTTCTACAGGTCTACTGCAATGCTATATAATGGACTCCTACGATGGTTTCTAAGGGATTCCTGCAAAGTTAGGGGCTCCAGCCTCACCTGTACACACCCCTGCCTCACCTGTACACACCCCTGTCTCACCTGTACACATCGCTGGCAGTGGTGGCCTTGCACGTGCTGAAGTAGGCTGGATCCACATAGCCCGGAGTACTCATGACGCGCGTCGTGCCCACAAAAGAGCCCTCCCCCGTCCTCACCAGCCCAAAGTCTGCAATCTTTGCCTGGTGGTTTTAATGAGAGTCAATGTAGCACGAGGGATGAAGAACAAAGCATGACAAATTGTTGCGGGAGGTGCTATCCACAACAGAGCATGGTTTGTGAGTATGGTTGAATCTATGGTTGCAGTAAGATATGAGATCTTGAGTTCAACCATAACAGGTGTCGGGTAGTGCGCAACAGTAAATGCATACTACATTAGTATGATTGCTTAGCCTAACCAAGATCTGGGACACATTCTGAGCAAGTTTTTTTTTACCAAAAGCATTCAGGGCGAACACACCCCACGTTCAGTTCGTTCGCCGTGTTTGCCTGAGTCGCGGCGAACATAAATGCGGCAAGGAGTACGTTTAGCATAGATGCGGCAATACGGAAGTGAGAACGCGGATTGGATTTGGAAGGTGCATTGCGGTACGGTGGGTTTTTGGGTGAGGTGGGCTGGCTGGAAAATTGGCGAAATCAGTGGCACGAAAAAAATATCCGCGACACTTTGAATAGCAACTGTCAACAAGAAATGTCGTAAGCTTGCTTTCCCTGCCCGGTCCTCGAGTGATCCCTCGAATTCGAAGTAGTTTGGGTTCGAGGCAAACACTTGGGTTCAAGGCAAACACTCGGGTTCGTGGCAAACCCTGAAGAGGTTGCCTAGAACCTCAAACACATGAACACTATATTTTGGAAACAACGTTCGTGGCAAACCGAACCCGAATGCGTTCAGTTGGCCTAAGGTAAGTGTGCGTTGGGTTCGAGGATAACACGCTTCAGTTTAGCTTTTGCTAATGTCCACTTTGGTGTGCCACTCAGGATTTGGTCACGCACCTGGTCACTTATCAGGATTTCGACTCTAATGCGTAGGCGGACAAATATTTTGAACAGCTTTGAATCCACCAAGGAAATCGTTCTTGCCTGCATGCTGTCGGTGATGAGGACGTTGGCAGGATTGATGTCGCGATGCACGATGCCAAAGCTGTGGAGGTACTCGACGCCCCGTGCCATGCCAGTCAGAATGTCTAGCCGCTGCTTCTGTGTCAGAGGGCGTTCGGCATCTGCACGGAATAATAGGCAGCATGAGCATAGCAGATGAGTGGCACAGAAGATGATTGGCAGAGGATGAGTGGCAGTAGTCAGGCTACATCTCAAGGATGCGTGGTACAGCATATGTGTGACACATATGTGTATGAGTGGCAAGCTGCTTTAGAGTCAGAGGGCACACTGCCTGTGCTAGGATGCGCAGCATATGTGGCACAACATATGAGAGGCACAGCATATGAGCGGATGCATTTCAGTGGCACAGCATGCGTGGCACAGCAGGAGGGGCACAACATGAGTGGCATAGCATGAGTGACACAGAATACGAGTGGTACAGACAGAACATAAGTGGCACGGAATATGAATGGCACAGAATATGAGTGGCACAGAATATGAGTGGCACAGAATATGAGTGGCACAGCATGAGTGGCACAGCATGAGTGGCACAGAAGATGAGCAGCACAGCAAATGAAAGGCACATCACAACGCTTGCGACGCACAAACAGAGATTACACTGGAGTGGCACACAAACAGAGATTACAGTGGAGTGGCACACAAACAGAGATTACACTGGAGTGGCACACAAACAGAGATTACACTGGAGTGGCACACAAACCTGGATCGATCCATTTGCGGAGGTCGCCATTGGGCACGTATTCATAGATGAGAACTTGCTCCGCCCGTGACCTCAAGTCTCCTCCGATCGCAAAGCCAAGAAGCCTTACACTATTGGGGTGGTTCTTGTCGGCCATATGCTGGATCTGATATACACAGACAGAGAGGAAGGGTGGGTCGCGGGGAAGAGGAACAGCTTGCGAAAAGGGAAAACAAACAAATAGTAAAATAGGGATGCCAATGCAGAGTGAAAAAGGAAAGATGACTTTTTTGTAATATTTTCACTTTGTGCTTTTTAATGGCAATAGACAATCTTAGTCAACTAGAAAATTTAGGCAAAAAATGAAAAATGACACTTGGGCTGTTAAGAAGAAGCACTTGGACACCATGGATGAAATTGAGGAAGAAGATTGGATGACGGGAGAAGAAATTGTATAAGCAAGGAGTGTCGAGATTCATTTGAGGAAGAAGATTGGATAAACCTGATTGAACTTATGGTGCGTTCAATCAAGGAACAAGCCCCAAAAAAAACTAAACTGAACCTGAAATGAAACAAAGTCAAAAACTTGCCAGAAAAATAACCAGAATCACATGCAGAGCGGAAACTAGCCTATTCTTACCTAAGTGGAGAAAGACGCTCAGGAGGGCGAGCGTCCTGCGTCTGAACGCTACGTCCAGACACGACGCATGACGCACGCGAAGACGCAGGACGTTCCGCGGATAAATTTGTTACGAAAATTTAACTACTTGTCGCTATTGCCAACCTTGCAGGTTCAAGAAACTCCTCTCCTCGGGATCACCTCCGAGGGTCCCTGGGTTAGACATGAGCACAAGGGCGAACACCTGTTCGGTTCGCCTCGAACTTGCTTAAAGTGTTCGCCAAACAGTGTTCGATTCGAGGTTCGCCCGAACACGTTCGTGTTTGGGCCGCTGCTGCAATTTGCCCCGCGACGAACACGAATGTGTTCGAGGTTCGCCCGAACACGCCTTCACAGGCGAACGACAAACACGAGTTTTTGCTTAAAGTGTTCGCCGAACCGAACAGTGTTCGGTTCAGCAAACGGATGTGTTCGTGTTCGCCCCTTGCTCATCCCTACGTGCTCTGGTCGCTCGAGTCATGAGCACCTTCTTGAGCTGAGATGTTCCAGATGGCAAGAGTACTGCTCTCGAAATGTCGGTGCGCGAGCAGCTGCCCTGTGCTTCAGCTGCGTCAGCTTGTTCAGAACCTGTTCGGAACCTGTTCGAAACATGTTCGTAACATGTTCGTAACGTGTTCGTAACCTGTTCGCGCCCCGTTCTTTATCCGCATCAGTTGTTCGGAACACGTTCGCGGCGCGCGTTAAAAAGCGACGAACTCAATGTGCGAGCAGGATAAAAAAGGCGCCGTCGATTTCTGTCGATTTGAGCAGCAACGAGCTCGAAGCGTGAACAGAATTTTGAGCTGTGATTGCTCGATCGAACAGTCGAGTCAAACCGAGTCTGAACTGCACCGTCGCTCCCCATTGGCCGAAACTCCAACCCCTTGATCGCTCGATAATAAACGACTCGCCCCAGCACTGCAGAAATGATTGGTGCTCTCCCCCACGATAATAACCGACTGATTGAAATACAGAAAGTTAATTCTGTATTAACAAATTTTCATGGGCTGCCAAAAAAAAATCAGCCCACGAAATCGCCATTCACGATATCGACGCCAATGTTAGATCCGCGAAATCGCAACTCCATGGGAGCAATGTCGTCAAGCAAAATAGCAAACGAATGGGAGCGATTTTGCTGTTTTTGCAAAGCAAAATCGCTAGCAAACCATCTTTTCCCCCAACCACCACACATTACCGCACTGCATCTCCTCCTCTCCTCCCCCCCTCCCCCCTCCTCCCTCTCCCCCCAACCTTGTCGACCTGAACCCAATGTAAGAAGAGAATCAGGTCGACATTCAGAGCTTTCTCTCCTAGTCGACCTGATTCTCTTTCAAAAACCCAAAATCTCGGTTTAACTAGGTGGGTGGAAATTTGGTGTTTAGGGAAGGTTTTAAGGATATTCCATGCTCAATGTGGTTGCAATGTCCCGAAACCCCCTCTCCCCCCTTCCTAGACGGCGTTTTTGCCTGCCCGAACTTATTTTTACCCTGCCTGGCCCTGCGTCTTTTTAGCATCTCGGGGACCCCTAAAACTGCGTCCGCGTCTTGGACGCTAGACGCAGGACGCGTCTTTCTCCACTTAGATTCCAACACAGGCCACAGAACACGCCATTCTACTATGGCTCACCATGGCTCACCATGGATCTCCATATCTGCGCCTCACCATGGCTCACCATGGCTCACCATATCTGCGCCTCACTAACCTCCTTCTGAAAGTCCATGTCGATCAGCCTGGCGCGCTTCGCAGCCCACTCTGTGCCGTCGCGGGGAGACACGCCCTTGAACACATCACCAAAGGCTCCCGAGGCCAGCTGGTTGTCCCTTGACCAATCATTGGTGGCCTCGATGACCTCTGCCAGAGAGAACTCTGTGCAGTCCGAGTCTATCAGGATGCTGCTAGTGCCTGCTTAGAATGTCAGAGGTGAAAGAAGGGAAG